ACAAGCAATTTCTTAAATTTGCCAAGCTTGTCTTAAAACTAAAGTTTTATGTTTTCTTCATTTTTTCTATTAATTCTAGTCACAATATTTGCAGCCTTGAAAGTTTTTAATATGTTCAGAGATATGGAAATATCACCATCAGTTGGGTATACATGAAGGTGCTTTGGCAGATGAGGGAAATTATTAGGAGAGAGAAGATAATCCTCACTAATAATTTTGCCCAAAATAAAACTCTTATTTGGAGATGTGCTTCCACTTCAGAAAGGAATAATCACTGTTGCATACCAGCAAAAGTCTCCTTGGTGCCCAAGATGATTATGACTGAAGAACCAGCCCAGATGATTGTATCAAACTTCCCCAAATCTGTTCTAGTTTTGCAAACAACACATCTATGGTTCAATGGGGTGAGGGAGTACATGAATCTAGTAAAATATATTTTGGGTGATATTTTCATTGATGCATATTAGTATATTGAAGTTCCAAAAGGAGGGCATTTATGTAGGAGATAAATTTCCTTCTTTGCAGGGCGAAATTCCTGTAAGAATAACAGAAAGTATGAGAAAGTGCTGTATATCTGGCTCCCAGTGCTTCTTACAATAGCTTTTCTCTCCTTTTCCACTCTTGTGTTCTTTAAAAGTAGACAGATATGGATGATACATTACCACTAATTTTTTTTCTTTGTGAAGTCTGTTGACATCATCATTTTTTTTCTGTCTGTGGATTTAATTTGACTTATATATGGTAAGTATGTTCCTTCACCACTTCTAGAGTCCCTCAGAACACTTATCTGAACAGCAGTATTTGCATTTAAAATGCAGTTTCAGATACAAAAGACAGAAATTCTTAAAAGCATTGCTTAGGTTACACACAAAAATATGTTAAGCATTTTAGAGATACAGAATAAGATAACTCTCTACTGGGAACAATGATCGAAAGTCTCCTTAGACATCAAGGCTGGATTATCCACCGGAAATAATAGCAGAATTGGGTTTTCTACTTACTGTAGTAAAGCAACCTTGTCTATAAACTCCTTATTGCTGCAAACCAAAGGTGTGCGTCTGGGGAGGGCAAGCTTTTCCCCTTGATGTTCCAGGACATGGAAATACAATCCTTTTTCAGACACAGATGTTTGCAATAGAAAACTTTCACTCCACTCTCTTCTGTTTTTAATCTGCTCATGACAGGAAACACAGATTCAAAATGAATGTAAAGAACACAGTCACCGTAACTGATGATAATACAAAAGAACATGTAGGAAAGATTTCTTTTTCCCAACATATTATAAGGAGAAAAGGTTTACAGATTTCAGAAGATTCTAGGTGGTTTTATTTCTCAGTGGCTACCAATACAGTGTTTTTCCATGAACTTCACAGGATACAGCTCTCTGCAATGCTATGATACTATCAACAGTTTCAGCATACAAAAGACAATACAACACTTCTTCAAGTTCTCTGCCAGATCTTCAGTGCTTCCAAGTGACTACCCCTCTAAAGCTTCACTGAACAAACAGATGTATAAAAATGGCCAAATATTCTTCCATAGCATGTGTAAAATGTAAAATGAAACACGTAAGAGTGGCTGATTCACCCTCTTCAGCCAGTCTTGCTGCTAACCTCTAGGGTCTCAAGAATTTCAAAGATGTGCTTTTTAAAATACGGCAATCTACACATCTCAAGTAAAGTTTTTTTATGTATTACAGTGTGAAGGGTTTGACTTGACTCTCTCCTGTGCTTTTTGGTTGTCTGTTCAAACTTCTCCTCTTACTCTGTTCTTCAGAACACAATCTACTTAGTCTTCCTTCTCTGACTCCTCCAGATTACCTAAATCCCTTTCCCTTGCTCTTTCATTCAGGTAGTATCTTGCTAATAACACCCTTCCCTTAGAAAACAACAGGAATCACAATACTTACATGTTGAATTCTGCAAATTCATTTATTATTGCTTAATTGACTATTTCAGCTACAGGACTGCACAAGCAAATAGAGCTGCTTGTCCCACACAAACTCCAGATCTTTTGCAGAATCACAATGTCCCAGGGGACACACATTGATCTGAAAGATATGGTCTAGAACTTCTGTTTCTAAGTCAACAGTCAGTTTGGCAGTACTAATAACAGAGAATTGCACTAGTGATATTTTGACTGGAATCCTGGTTCATGTTCACCCATTAACTGGTATTTTCCTAATTTGGGCTGTGTAGCAAATTCCTCACATCTAAATAGTCTCGAGTGGGTTAGGAATGTGCAGTGGGGTAATATGGGTAGGGGGAAAGTGCCTAGGAATCATACATGAGAAAGGTCAGAAGTATTTTGGCAGCAGCAGGACATTTCAGAGGACAATAATTATTAGCAGTGAATCTTCCTCCTTCCGTAATTTTGCCATCTCTCAGGATGCAAGCTGCCTCATCTTCTCTGGGATTCTCAAGCCAAACTCTTCTCACTCACCTTGCACATTCACACCACTCTCCTTCTCTGCCTACACCAAGAATATCCCACGCTTATTCTTCTGCCCCTGCTAGATTTCTGCCATAGCAGTGGGCTCTTCCTGTGTTAAAGAGGTATTGTAAATATTTTATTGATTTTGTTGTTGTTGTTGTTCAGCATCAGTTTGGGTTCAACAAAGACTTAAAAGTAATAACTCAGGCTCAGTTCCAGTTAAAGAAAAAAATTCAATTTTATTTCAAGCTTTTACTTCAGTTTCAACTTGATTTTAAAACACGCTTTGTTTTAATACACTCATCTGTGTCATCATGATGTTTTTAGCATTATTTAAAAGTCTGTCAATATTTGTGCCAAGGGCACATTTCAACATAAATTATTCAGTATTTATTTCCAGATAATTGGCAACAATACTGAGTAGGGCAAAGCATAAGTCACCATAGAGCTTTACTATAACAAGTATTTTTGAAGACCTGTCAGCTAAGGAGCCCTTAGTCATTTAATGTGTGCTTCTCCTGTGTGTTTAATTAGAATGCTCTGTGGTACTAAATCGAGGTATTCCACAAGTCTAAAGAGTATCACCTTTTAGTGTTCCATTTACTAATTCAAATTCTAATAATTTTGAAAATGACTACTAATACTTCTTAAGCAGTGTTAACTATATCTTCACTCTTTAGTCTGAATTCCACATAGCTTTTTTCTACATCATTTTGTCTCAAACCAATATCCGACTTACTGACTTATAACAGCATTATAATATTTATATTTTTAGATGCTGAAAGTTTTCTCCTTGGTAAACATACTGGAAAAGAGTTTTGTTTTAAATTATTTGCAACTGAAAAATCGTCTTAACATTTCCTTATCATATTACTTCAATTTTCTTTGAGCAACTTTTTGAAGATAGGTTTATATTCCATTTGCCTCCAGCATTTCCCTCTTCATGGCATTAGTTTAAGACAGTTTACCTGCTCCAACTAGTCTCCAAAAGAGAACAGTTCTAGTTGTGAGACAGAGGCTAGGATTTGTCATCCCCGCCACCACCAGGGTTGTCACCTGATGCTCCACTCTGATCACATCTTCAGTCTCATATTAGTGAAGTAGCCATAGGCTCTTGTCCAATAATTTTCTGGTCTTAGGACTGGAAAATCTCAAAAAATATCAACTGGGCTTTTCCATTTTTCAGCTTTTCCCCTGATGTTTCCTACAGTTCAAGCAGCTTCATGTGATTTTTGCTTAGTTACGTTCTCAAAAAATGGCTGACGTATTTTTGCTGGAACACTGAATAAAAATGTCAGACAAAGATGAACATCACACAAAGAAGTCTTTAGCTCAAATTATAAACAATATCTATAGCAATGATGCAAATGATGAAAAAATTATATGTACAATTTCTAGGTTCGAGTTAAAGTTCTTATGGACTGTGCAAAGTAGATTTTTTACAATTTGATTATAGTAGAGTCTGGGGGAATAAATGTACTCCCATGTACTAAGCACTGCACATACATGGTTTTAAAATATAAAATTTGTTACTAGCCAATGCATCAAAGTGAAAATAAATAAACAGTTATGTAAATTTACAGTGGGTTTAGCTAATAAAATTACTTCCAGATTTTAGAGTTAGGAACATGCCATGATAATATCCTCAGTGACGGTATTTGAGTGGGCTACTGGAAATAATCACCAGTACGACACACAGTGCCACTGCTAACAAACCTACAAGTGCACCTTCTTCGCTGATCCTTCTTTCCTGGTTTGTTTCCCCAGACTCTGCAGTAGCAGATTCCCACAGACACTGTCCCAGATGTTTCCAGACCCGCAGATGAGCTGCAGTTCACAACACCTGACCACTGGTAAACAAGCATTTTGTGTCTTCCCAGCCTGGGAATTGGAACTGGGTAGAAATTAACTAGCGAAAACCTGGCAGCCTTTCCGGAAGAGCTGATGCGAAGGGTTGACGAACAACTTCTTCAAGAGCATGTCAAACCTCGTTAACAACTGCGGTGTTATTTGCTTTGATTCTGTGAGGTGGTGCATTGGAAGCTACACGGGCACAAAGACCGGATTTGGGGACGTGCCGTATAGGGGATGCTGGATGAAGAGAGCTGCTCCTGCCTTGGCTTTTGGGACAGAGGGATTGAGGGGAGAGAGCATCTTTTCGGGGTCTTCTGTGGGGGTTGACTTTAGCTAGTTTAACGAGTAAGACGGGCAGGCTGTGGATCTCTCCGTGGAAAAGCTGCAGTAGGCACGGCCAGGCGAGCTGAGGGGAGCAGGGAGCCCTTGGAGGGGACACACTGCTCAGAGGGGCCTTTTCAAGGGCAGCCTGCAGCTGAGGCAGGACCCGTGAAAAGCGGGAAGCGATGCCCCAGCCTGGCACGACGAGCACAGCCAGACGGCCGCACCCGGACCAACCAGCCCACCCAGCCCGTCTCAGGCAGGGCCGTGCGGTGCCAGGACCGCCCCTTCCCGCTGACCGCGCCCTGGCCGCCGCTCAGGGACCGCGCCTGCGCACTCCGCGCTGCGGGACATGCGCTGATCCCGCCGTGCCCTTGCCCTGCTTCTCTTCCCCTCGCCCCTTCCTCCCGCCTTTGCCATGGCGACACCGAGTGGCCTGATCCGGGCCCTGCACCGCGGGACCCTCGGCCAGGTAACCGGCCTGGGGCACGTCCCCCGTCCCTTCCCGGTGTGGGATGAGCCCCGTGCTCCAGGCGCGGCCGGCCCAGCCGACATCCCGCCCCCGTTCTGCGAGCGGCTTCGCGCATGCGCGGGGCGGGGCCGGACCGGGCGTAGCTGGCCACGTTCCCATCGTTCCCGTTTTCTAGCTCCTTTCCCTGCGTCCTCTCAGTCGCGGTGCTTTTACTCCTCGGAGCACTCGGGGTGCGGGAGAGAGGGAGGGCTGAGCCGGCAAATACCGGTGTCCTGGTAGTCGTTCAAGGGCTGAGTATCGCTGGGCGTTGTGCGAGATTTCAGTGTTGGTCTTTTCTTCTTCTCTAGAGTATCACCTTCCGATTTTAAATGCACCTGCAGGCTAGGAACTCTTGTCTTCTCCAGCAGGAAAAAAACCCAAAACCGCATAAATGTCTGAATTGATATATGTCACCCCCCCGCCTTGGTACTTACACAGCTTCAATATGTTGTAGTAGTGGTTACATTTCCTAAACATATTTGGGATTTTCATTGTAACCATAAGAAGCCTTCACTTCCTCCCTCCCTCCCATTCTATTACAAAATTGAAATAAAGGAGCAACTGATTACATTGATTGTATTTGGAAAGATAACCCTCGGTAATCAGCCAAGTCAGGTATATATTCGGTGACCATGTGTTTGTAGGCACCCTCCTTCATAAATTTTTATGTCTGTGAATGGTTTGCCTTACAAATCTAAATTTTTTATGTAGCTTACAGCCTTATTTTTAGAATGGGTGGAAGAATGATTAATTAAAACAATTTGATAACAATAATGTTGCATAATTTTAGTGAATGTTTGTTTCCCTTAGCTGGACAATTGGCTTTTTCATGAAAATCTTGCTCATGTTCTTATATCATCTAAATCCTGAATGGTATGCTATGTTTCTATAATGGAACATTTTATTTAGAATGGTTGTCAGGGTAGATGTGTCTCATGTTGCTTGTGAAAAGAAATAGGATAAGTAGAAGATCAAAGACGTCTTTCGGTTTCTTGGTGTTATCCATGCTGTCTGTGACCTTGCAGCAACTGGATTCTGTTATTCTCATCCTTTGAGTTGATATTCTGAGCACATCAATACACACTAATACAGAAAAAGTTGGTGTATGTAGTGGTGAACCTGGGTAAACTACGAGTTGCGAGACTATTTCTGAATTAGGATTTTTAAAATTAAGCTTAAAAAATCAAGGCATATTTCAGTTACTTGTTAAAACAGATAATAAATACCATGCAGATGACCTTGATTCTGCCCTTTCTATTGAGGCAGAGTGAAAGCAAAAGAGGGAGAACCTGTTATCCCATATGGAACTTCCATAACTGATATTTTACTTAGTAACTTGTGTGCTTCCTACTAGTTGTTAGTGTGAGGCAGAGGTAGTGTTTCTGCTTATATTTTTTTTTTCAGAATTTATTTATGTATAAGACTATGTTGAAGTTTAACCATATAGAACTTCTAAAGAATCTTGACATGGCATACTCAATAAGCTGTTCAATAAGGGTGTTTCCATTTCTGGAGGTGCTTTGATTTCATTTCACTTACATCTACCTAAATCTTCCTAGGTTTCTAACACTTACCATTTGGATAGTTCTTGCCTCAAACCACTCATTATTTTTAGAACTCAAAGTTTCTTGAAAAATACTGAAAGGACTTGTATACACTTATCTTTCCAAATGCTCATGGTGGCTCTTTCTGATCCATTCAGTATCCTAGCAGATGGCCTCCTCTGTTTTCATCCCTCTAGCAAAGGATTCTGGTTTATCTTGCATAATAGAGAACTCTGCTCTGAGTAAATATGGCTCTGTTATATCTTAATATTCACTCTGACGTGCACTGCTTTGCCACCTCTGAGTTACCTGTCAGGTCAAGGTGTAGGTGCTTTATCATCTGATTACTGTTCCACAATGTCCTTTAGATATGATAGGTCTGAGAATGTGCTTCCTTCCTGTTGTTCTTTAAATGTTTTCATTTAAAAAACAAGAAGCCCCAAGTTAATCTTGGTTATGTAGCTTCATATCACCCACCCTCAAGTAACAGTAGTAATTTAGGTTGCTCCTCCAATTTTAAATTTGCAAGTTCATTATGTTGTGGGATTCTGTCAATTTACTCTCTCACTTTAAGTGCCCTCTTACGTCTATATGGAAAGAATTGCATTGGAATTGAAGTAGTACTTCAGTGCATCTTCGAAAAAAATTGGCTTCCTTATTTATGCTGTTCCTGTTTCCAGACTGGACTCCAGAGTAGTTCAACTATTATGGCAAACAGCTTGGAACGGATCATGTATTTGCTGCGTGCTAATGAGGAACATACAAATTTCAAGCTGGAAAAGCGTTTGCCTTCAAGCTTGCACAGTAGGCAAGTACTGGCCAAGTACTGGCACCCTGATAGTTTTGATGTTTAAGCATTTGATAATGCAGTCACAGTTGCTAGGAGGTATCATTTATGTGGTTTCAGCTTTGTTTTACTGTAGTGCACAGTTCATTATTACGCTGGATTTGTTGTGCTGTGGAAAAGTTGCTCTATACTTTTTGTTGTACATATTTCTAGAACACAGCTAGAATTTGTAGGCATAATATATGTGGTTAAGAAGAAAGTAACATTTTGTTGGAGAGATTAATTACATTTGGGGTATCTTGACTTTTAAGAGCTTATTTTGAAATTCCCTGATTTACGGTTCTTCACTGGTGTCTAAGCCAAGGTTATAGAAAGTAATTTCAAGTCTGTTTCTTTGATAAGACACTCTTAAAAATGGCAACTAACAGGTACTCTGGGGAATTACTGATAAAATTATGAGAAATCCAACAAAGACATAACCTGTCAATAGGAAAATTTACTCTAGGGTGAGTCAGTCAATTGTTGTTGTATGTCCTGACAGAACATGGATTAGGTTTAGTCCTGTCAGCAAACATGAAGTAGAAGAATGACAAGGTCTTGCTTTTGATTATAGAGTCTCATGCATCAGTAGATGGCTTTTCAGACTCCCAGCTGGAGGCCTACTTTTAGATGTTATTTGCCTTCAAGAATTCAGGAGTCTTTGGCATAGTTTTTCTTTTCTAGTATCAAAGTAGTTATCAGTATTACAGTTACTGCAAGAATACTCTAGTACCTGTATTGCTTTTCTTCCTGAGAGTATCTTTTTAAGAAAACAAGAATTCTCATTTTGCTACTTTTTCTCCTACCCTGGTCTTTCCTCTTTGATAGGTAAGCCTTCCCTGGCTTTCACACATGATCTGATACAGTGGCTGTATTATTATTGCTAAGCTGTACATTTTGATGTTCTACAAACTTCATCTCTTGTCAACTTTCAAAGGAGTGATGCATCAGAAAGTGGATTCTCTTTTAGCTTCAAGTGGTACAGAATTGCATCTTCTACCCACAAGGGTTGATATTTTTTAATACGAAATCCTTTCCTTTTTGGTGCTAGAAATTAGTTGGGTTTTTTTCTGGCACTGAAAGTTGGATTTGCCCTAATGAAGCTCATCACACTGACTCTAGCAGGCACTGTTTGGGTCATAGAAAGAGAAAATTGGTTTGAGTCCCACGGTTCCAAGAATGTTTTTCTACCTTTTGGTGAGCATGGCACAGAAAACATCTCTGGTGAACATTTAGTCAGGTACCACTGCAACTACACAACCTTGAAATCCAACCAATGTTAGCCAACATGTTGGTAATCTTAGCAGTTCATTTAGGAATGTACCTGTTTCTTTGCCTGAGTTAATATCATTAAAACAATATCACAGTGTGGATCCCTGTATGTAGTTTCTCTAGCTTGCTTTACAATTCGTGACCAAGGGTGGTGCTAAAATCAAGAGGCCTTCAGGGTATCTTACCCTACTGAGGCAGCCTAATGGGTCTCAAAGCCAAAGTTAGACTAATGTGGTGTGCTTTGCTCCTAACAAATCCACATTTGCTGTTGTTTTCTTTTAGTTATCTTCTAGGGAATTGCAAAAGATGGGTTTTATTCACTGAGTATTGATGCTAAGCAGACTACCTCCCAGACTGCTCCTCTTTTCCTGTATTTTTGAAGACAGGAGTGACATTTTTCCTTTTTTGGTCTTCTGATACTTTACTTGGCCTCTGTGAACCTCTGTGATTCTGGCCAGTATTGTCAGTACTTTAAGAAGAGATCTTCAGATTGTTTGGGTCTGATGAAATTTTACTTTTTTTGAAGAAGTATTGTTCTGGCTGTATTCAGGCCACCTGATCACCCCATTGTTACTGTGCTAGTCATGTTAATGACTGCTCATGTTTCATATTTTTCACAAAGATGGCTGTGAAAAAGGCAGATAAAAATTGAAGGGTTGTTTTGGAGAAGACCATTAAAATGCTTTTTCCCAGATTGCAAATTAAATCTTCAAAATTTTTAGCTATAGTTACCATATGGGCTCCAGAGAACAGAAGTAACTGAAATTACCAGACCCTAATCCTTAAGGATTTCAAAGGTTGTAGTTAAAACTACAGTGGGAGAGAGAGCTCAGTGTTTAGTATCATTCAGATGTGTTATGAATGAAATGCAAACGATTTAAAAGTATCCGTGTTCCCATCTTGAATTTGTTGCTGTCACATAGGGGTCACTTTGTTAACCATTAATGAAATGAGTCCCCAGGTGCATGTAACAAGCTGCACACATACACAGGTTACTGCAGCAGGTCAACTTCAGAATGTCTGTCCAGACACTTGTGTACTGAAATTGATGGATGAACAGGCAAATTTTTAAGTGCTTGCCCTGAATTTATGATTGTGACAATCCCCTGTGTTGCATCTCTTTCTTCCAGAGAGCATGAAGGTTGGAAGTAGCAAACTGCTTTTGACTGAGTTAAAAAAGCTGGAAATGCTTTTTTAACCTGTTAGACAGCAAAGACCCATGATGTTTCCTGGTGTCCAATATGGGGTGCTTCAGCATATTGGAATCTACAGGACCTTTAGGAAAGATCCAAGTGATTTGAGAAATGCTTTCCAAGTACAGATATCTCTATCTGAATTAATGTATGTAGAAATTGTAGCCTTTTTTTTTTTAATTTCCTATTTTTCTGAATTTTAACATTTCTAACTATTGTTATTGAGCCTAGATACTAAAAGTTATTTAGTTACCTGGGTTCTTCTGAAATCAACATGTTCTAGTCTTTGGATTAAACCTCTAGTGTCTCCTATTCAGGTTGGAATGGAAGTCTTTCCTAATCAGTCATTTTTTTATACTCTAATCACTTAATTATTTATGTTTGATCCTCTAGGGAAAGCAACTTACCTTTCAGATAAAGCAATGGAATAGTTCTTTATGCCAGAATGAAATCATTAGCTTTGTATCATTTTCAGAGCTGAAGGCAAGTTAGTATACAGTGAGAATATACATTTCTTGGGTTTTCACTGGTTTTGAGGGAGCTCGGATTTCCACACAGATTTATTAGACCTTCCAGTTGTGGAGAGACTTCTCATAATCTGCCTTGCTTAATGCCTCGTCTCTGATGAATTTTGACCACTGTTGTAGCTGCACAGGAGAGAGCCCCCACTGTAGACAGAAATGAGGGATCTTTGAGGCGTGAATGGGTCCTATTCATTTCCATAATGGAGTTCTAACAATAAAGTCTGGCAAACACAGATTGTTTTAGCAGGAAACAGCCCTTTATTTTGGCATCTTGGCAGGGCTTGGGTAGAGTCCCACCATTCTTTCCCCCTCTGGCCCTTGCTTTCAGTGTCTTGACTGAGCCTGTTTTTTCTCTTGAGAGATTCCTGTTTTTATTAACTTGTTTTTGTACAGTAAGTTTAATGAAAGATGCTACTCTGCCTGTGCTGGATGTTGAAGTTTTGTGTAAATTTCTTCAGTGCATATGCTGGACAAACATATTGAACAGTCTGTAGTAGACTGCCTCTGTCTCTAGACCGCAGACTGGGGGTCTTGTTTTAATGCTGTTTCATTGGCAGATAGAATTTCCATTTACTAATACAGCAAGTGCTGTTCTAGACATTCAACAATTACTTTTTCCATGACACAAGTTGTGGTTTATGCTGCGTCTCGGGTTAGATGAACAAACATTTTGTGGAGTTGACTCAAATTACAGATCAGAAGTTGAAGTGAAGAAAACCCCCAAACATTAAGTCGGTTAAGTCACCTTAGATCATATATTTTTTGAGCTCTGCAGAGTTTGTAAGCAGTGAAATGAAATTGTTTTCCTTTTTGTTGTTTGAGCCCTTGACTGTAATAATACCATTCTTGGAGTCCCGAACTCAGACAAATCCTGTAGCAGATTTTATAATTTTCTACTGTATCAGGCACATCTATATATCCACTGGACAGGATTAAATATATTTATATATAAATAAATATATTAAATATATTTTTGCCCCCAGAGATTCTCACCTTGAGAGTGCACTGAAGTTCTTGCTGCCTGGGAAAGGAAATAGGTAGATATTTGTATATATGTATATTCACACAAATATACGATGAAGTATGTATGCTTACTTTTTCATTTCCCTCCTTCTTGTGCTGAAATGTGATGATTGCTACCAGAAATGAAATATCTGCTTTTCTTTTAGCTTTCAGCTCTTTGAATTATGCTAGGGCTGTATCTGCTTCTTGGAGCTGGCTGAAGTAACGGAGAGGTGAAGTTGATCTCATTGCTTCAGTGATGACTGCAGGATATCTGAGTGAAAAATTAGTGTTGTGTGGAGGGTTTCCTCAGTTTTCGTTATGTTGCACATAGCTCAAGTTATGAACTACTACCGCGATGTTATCTTCATAGCCAGGCAGATAAAACCCTGCTGTGCTTTCTTTGTATTTAGATGGCACTTTCATAACTGTTCAGACTAGGAACTTCTTTTTGTTTAGACTACCTTGTTTATAGATAAGTGGTTTGGAGCCTTACAGTACAGATTAGAAGGTGAATAAATGCTTCTGACTGATATTTCCAAGTGTGGTAAGCCCATCCAGTTCACCTATGTAGGCAGTTGTCAATATTTACATTCCTGTGCAGAAAGATTCCAGAGTTGGATAGTGCTAAGTTTCCATTTTTGAAGCTCAAAGCTCCTGTAAAACTCTTCCAATCCCGTGAAGTATTCAGAAGCTGAAATGAGATGAAATTGTATATATTCTCCCATTCTGACAGATGGAGGATGTGTGATTCTGAATCCCATCACTGTTGTTTCTGATCACATACACTCAGTGACAATCAAATATTATGTATTGGTCTTCATAGTGTCATCCTCACAATCTGGATGCTGAGCTGTTAATCTCATTAGAAGGTTGTTGGCCAGCATTCAAAAAAAAAAATTGCAAGCATCTTCACAACTTTCTGGTCTCACCATCATCTTTTTCCTTTTGCCAGGTGCATAGGTTCTGACTTTGAAATCTGCCATGATACCTGTGCCTTGGGAAAGATATAGCAGCGTTTTCATGTTAATAAAAGACTCCAGGCTTCCTGATGATCTCACCAAAGATTCACATGGCAACTATTTTTGTCATTTGCTTTCACACTTGCGGATGCTCTAATATCTCTGTCCTTTGGCAGTGAGATTGCTAAATAGCCTGTTTTAAGTTTGCCCAACAATCAGGAACAGTTCTTTTCAGGGATTCTGCCTTGATCCTAGGCCTCGTAGGCATTCACTTCTCTGCTTACCACCATTGCTTTTTGCACGAAAAGCAGCAAAGAAATACAAGGAGGTACAAACTTTTGAGGACAGAACCATGTTATGCTGTCCTTCCTAAATACAATCTTTTTATAGCTACATCAAAGTTTCTTTCAAAGGTGGTCTTTGACTTCTACTTGAATTGGGTTATCCATTTGCAAATATTTTTCTTGAAATCACATACTTGTCAAGATGTGGAAAGACTTTACTTAATAGGCATCCATAGGGTGCTTTCCGTTTGCATGGAAGAACAAAACAGTTTCAAACATTTCAAAGCCTCTTTGTTGCTTATGTAAAGGGAATGAGGGGTCCAGCCCTCTGAATTCCTGACCAAATCTCGTCTTGCATCTCTGCTGGCAACAAATCAGCCCATGTACTTTCTGTGACCAAGAACGAGTTCACGTTCTGCTCTTCATGCACTTCTACTGGGGTGTTTTGTTGTGGGGTTTTTTTAAGATATCTGCAATTTAGATCTTTGCAGAGTTAAAGCAATGTCTGCACTCTGCATGTTCATCAACCATTAAGCCAGGTCGCAACAGCCGAAGTGCTGTCACTCCCTTCAAAGGGACATTTTTAGAGTTGATCGTGCAATGTTGATTCTAAGTCTCTAGTATACAGAATACTTGCCGGTACTCAAAAAAATGGAGTATTACACATATATAGGATACCTACAGTAAAAACACTTGGCTTGTTTTATACTGATACACTCCGAAGGGTACATCCAAGTTGAGATTTGTTAGTTTGCCTGGCTTCCTGTGGGCCGGTTGGAATAGTACAGGTAAGTTAGCGAGGAGCATCTCATCTTTTTAACAAAGCAGTGAGCATGACACACAAACTAGGGAACTTTTCATGTGATATTTCTGGGCTCAAGGTGTGTAAGAAGCAAGTCACAGTTTGCTGTGACTTGGGTGGCGTGTGCTGTTGCCATTCTAGTCTCACTTGGCTACATCCTCTTGACCTGAGCACAAATAAACACTTGTGTCTCTGTCCCCCTCATCCGTTGCTCATCTGTTGTTTGTCCTTTCTATGGAAACAGCCCAGGCTGGTGGTTTCAGGACCAGCCTGCAGTGATAACGCCAGTTTAAATGTAGTCTGTATTGTCTATCTTCAGAAAAAGTTTTTTAAATTCTGTAGCAGTCCCTGAGACAAGTATGATTATTATGTCTAAAATACTTAAATTCATAGAATTCTCTCCAGCATAGACAAGGAGGACCAGCTGTAGCATTTTCTTTGTGCATGTGTGCACCATTAGGGAATTTACTGAGATTTCTACATCCCAAGGCCTCTCAACATCCGTCAGGTGGTTTTAAAACTTTGCTATTCACCTGAGATGAATTTCATGCAGTGACCACAAGGTGAAAGTTTTTGAACAGCTGTGTTAATTTTGGCCCCATGTGAAATGAAGCCAACTTTTTCTTGCTACAGGAAATTGCCAAATAAAATAATGGAGAGGAAATGAACTACTCTTTGAGTTTCTAGGACAGTATTCTGAAGGAATATAGTAATTCCAAACAAAAAATATTTTTTAAAAAACATAGATGTAAGTCGATATTCTTTGTTTATATCTCATAGGGCAATGTTAGTAGCAAGCAGACTCCTCACTTAAAGAAAGTATATTAAAAAATATAATAAACTCTCTTTCAGCTAAAGGTCAGAGAAGGAACAAGAGCAATCAGATGTTTTTAAGAGATTTGGATACTACTGTGATCAAAAACATAAAACTTCTCTAATTTCTCTGAGAGGGAAGTATTTAGTTATGGGGCATTCTTTAGCTTTTTATTTTGTTTTGCTTTAAGATTGTGAAGGTTTTGGTACTTAGAATGATTTAATATATTAAAATTGCCCCAACCTTTCATATATCAAATAATCTAGATTTATAATTTAGAAATATAATACACTTTTCATTACATTTTGACAGTAACACGTGTATCTTGTGTGCTAATTCTTCACTTGTTGCTATTAGATTTACTCTGTTGAAGCAGTGTATGTTTCTAAATGTGGATTAAGTACCGGTTTACAAGTGTTAAATGTTAAGTTGCATTTCACATCTTTTAACAACATGAAATGGTTTTGCAAAACATATCAATGTTCAGCTGCTATCTGTGAAAAGGCCTCAATTCTTAAATTTTGTTGAATGCAGGTAGAAGGACTTGAATCTTGAAATGCTGGGAGATCTAGCCTGTCTAAATAGAATTCTGATTTATTTTCTATCCTCTTTGGTCATCTCACTTTGATCTTTTGGTCATCTCACTTTGATCTTAATCATCTTAATGAGATTATAGGCTCAGAGGACTGCAGCAGACCCAGCTGGAGCTGGTGCTTCCCATGGCCAAAATAAAAATTAACTGCCCCTACATCTTTATCAA